GACGCTCCAGCTCTGAAAGTATTCAACTCGGAACCCGCTGGTGGTAGCAGAGGAAGAGGGAGGCCCCCACTGCGATGGAAAGATCAGGTGGAGAAGGACTTGGCTTCACTTGGCGTTTCCAATTGGCGTCAGTTGGCACAGAGGAGAAGCGACTGGAGTGCTTTGCTGAACTCGGGCAAAATCGCTTAGGCAGTTACAGCGCCAAAAAAGAAGAAGAAGAAAGGTGTGCACAGTTTTTTTTTTCTCAACCAAATAACTGAGTGATTCCGTCTGTCCGCGTGTGACAAAAAACGGCTACAGTTCAGTTGCAAGGTGCCACATCTTACGTACACACACACACGACAGTGATAAGCGCCACATTTTGCAACATATTTAATCTTCAAGCACTCTGTTTTTGTTTATGATCACGTTTTTATAACTCCTTAGACAAATTGTTCACACACGAACAGCTTGTATAGGTTGAATATACATATAAATACGACACAAAAAAAGCGTCGAGTTAACTAAGAATTGAAATATATTTCATTACTGAACGTCTCTTGATCATCACGTTTTTTAACACATTTTTCGCGTCAGTCGACGTGTTAATCACTTGTGTAGCAATAGTTGCAATAAATTAGCGAATCACATTATTATCAACATATGTATTATCACTGATCGTCGGTGGACACATAACCTCTTTGTTTGAAACGGACACGGTAATTTTGCTTTTATCAATTGCACTTTGTTTTTCACAAAATCACTTCTGCGTGTGGATCCATTGCAGTATTAATTTGCGAATATTATTATTGATTTGTGGACGTATCTGCAAATTACACGAACATATTTAATAGCAGTTGAGTGGCGAGTCAAGTTTTATATACACACGCATACATATAAATAAGCTGTCATATACATACATATACCGAAATCCCTGATAATTGAAGGAGAAAATATATTGAGTGAAATAAAGTATTACAATAACAGTTTAAATATAAATTGAACGCCTATTTTTTCAATTGCGGAAATTGTATCTGGTTTTTGACGTTTCGACCACAAGAGTTGGTATATTTTTCAGCGGCAGAAATTTTCGTTTTATTGAATACCGAGCGAACAAATTCGATAAGCTAAGCATTTATTTTTGTTGAATAGTAAGGTTGCTACAATATATAAAAGCACATCATCGAATTCATTTCTTATTGATTTTGACCTCAAGTATCATTTTTAAACATGGAATCGTTCATTCGTTTGGCAGAGGCTATAATCGAATTTGAATCCGATTTTAGCAGCACGCCACCTGCAGAGCAAAATAAACATGGTCTTGCAATACAGCAAGACGAACTCCGTGTGATACCGATGTGTTCAAGGGTGACTATCTGTCATGGCCATCATTTCGTGATATGTTCACGGCCATATACATCCTTAACAAGCGCCTCACTCCGGTTGAGAAACTATTTCACCTCAACCAAAAGACTCAAGGGGAAGCCAAAGACATCGTGAGAAAGTGTCCACTCACCAACGAAGGCTTCCAAACAGCCTGGAAAAGTTTATGCGAGAGATATGAAAACAAGCGTATCCTCGTAAATACACAACTGAAAATACTTTTCAATTTAAATTCAGTGGAAAATGAGTGTGGTAGCTTAATAAAAAAGTTGCAGCGGGATATAAATAATTGCTTATCGTCCCTAAACAGTCACCAAATTAACGTTTCAAACTGGGACGCAATTATAGTCTATCTCTGCTCCACCAAGCTTCCAGAAAGTACGCTGGCTCTATGGGAACAAACCATAGACCACAAAAATGATATACCAAAGTGGGAGGATATGGACAAGTTCCTATCCAACAGGTTTCAAACGTTGGAGACGTTATCAGGCTTAAAAAATTCCAAAGCTGTGAGAGCTACAAAGCCGCAACACACAACCAAAATAGCAGAAGCCTCCCCAAAACGACTTGGCGTTTTCCAAGCAAGCGTGACCAAGTTCATTTGTATAATGTGCCAGTCCAATGAGCACAAGTTACGCAGCTGTTCCCTATTCTTAAAGCTGACACCATCTGAAAGAATAGAGTTAATGAAAAACAATAACTCTTGCTTGAACTGTCTTAAGTCTGGACATACTGTGTCAAGATGCACNGCCTCCCCAAAACGACTTGGCGTTTTCCAAGCAAGCGTGACCAAGTTCACTTGCATAATGTGCCAGTCCAATGAGCACAAGTTACGCAGCTGTTCCCGCTTCTTAAAGATGACACCATCTGAAAGAATAGAGTTCATGAAAAACAATAACTCTTGCTTGAACTGTCTTAAGTCTGGACATACTGTGTCAAGATGCACATACTCGTTTAATTGCAGCAAGTGCCACTCCCGACACCACACGCTCCTGCTCCTTGAGACTGACCAGAAAAAGCCTACAGCGCACCAAGTGCCGGAAAGCTCAACTGGTAATCCAGCATCTTCATCGAAGCAAGCACAAACAAAACGCAAGACAGGAAAACCAAATTCAAATGGGAACAAAAATGTCAAGTCTTGTTTTGCAAATTCAAATACTGGTGTGCTCCTAGGAACAGCGCGCGTAAATATACATTATAATGGAACCGATTTTTCTGCAAGAGCTCTTATTGATTCCGGGTCTGAGTGTTCCTTTATAACGGAAAGACTCAAACGCCGAATCAACCTGCCATCCAAAAGATTGCATGCCCAAGTTTCCGGCATCACAAATGCCATATCGGCGCAGGTCAAAGAAGCATGCAATATAGAAATACGGTCACCGATTGACCCATTATTCCGGTCGACTACCACTGTGCTCGTCTTAGCACAACTAACTGGAAGTCTTCCAACTACCCATATTAGCGCTGTAACTAAACAAGCATTCCCAGATTTGGTTTTGTCCGATAAAAGGTTCTTTGTTAATGAGCAAGTGGACCTTGTGCTTGGAGGAGATATTTATCCAAAAAATTATTTTTNAAAGAAGCATGCAATATAGAAATACGGTCACCGATTGACCCATTATTCCGGTCGACTACCACTGTGCTCGTCTTAGCACAACTAACTGGAAGTCTTCCAACTACCCATATTAGCGCTGTAACTAAACAAGCATTCCCAGATTTGGTTTTGTCCGATAAAAGGTTCTTTGTTAATGAGCAAGTGGACCTTGTGCTTGGAGGAGATATTTATCCAGAAATTATTTTTAGCGGCTTGAAGAAAAATGTACTTAATACACTTCTAGCCCAAGAAACCGTGTTCGGTTGGATATTAACCGGCCGCACAGATGCAACAAGTGCAACCAACCATATTGCTTCATACTTTAGCGAAGCCGCCTTGGATAAGCAGCTTACTGCGTTCTGGGGAGTAGAGGATCTACCGAAGAGCAAAAGCCTAAGTGAGGAAGACAAGTACTGTAAGGAGCTGTACAAGAGTACAACTCAACGTACCAAAGACGGGAAATATGTAGTTTCGCTACCATTCAGGCAGGATTTTCCAGAGAATGTTGGAGATTATATAAATACGTCTTCAACAGCGACATCGAGAAGATGTACCGGCAAATTATGGTGCATGACAATCAAACTAAGTTCCAGCGCATAGTTTTTCGTACCAATAATNAAATTAACTATGTGAAGTTTTCGTTCTTGTGAATAATAAAAGCCTTGTGAAATAAAGTGGGACTTTTGTTGATTTTAAAAGAAAAAAATAAATTTTGTATTTATTTTAACTTAAAAATTTTGTAGCTTAGTTTAAAAGAAAAAATAATTATAAAATGGCCAATTTGTATTAAAATTTCTAACTAAAATTCGAAGGGGTAAAATTTACCACCAGGTCAGAGACTATGTCCAAAAAATTCACCTCCATAGTTAAAAGTTAATGCTGGTCCACACAGAACTTTGGTGCTGACTTTGTAGTTGGCGTTGGTTTGACAGAACGCACGTTAAAAGTATGCGTTCTACAATGAAGCTTGGCAGATACTACTTTGGCCACTAAATTAACATATTAACGAGAGATAAATTAATATTTCATATCAATAATTGCATGAAAAACTAAATTTCTTGCCCTCATTTGATTAAAAGGAAAAAACATTTCATATAATTTTATTTATTTGCAACAGCTCGCGACCGACGCAGCGATCTTTCTGCTTTGTGTTGGCCTTAGCGCTGCCAAATTTTGGCTATGTGGACGGCTGCTTTGAAATTCAACGCCAACGCAACGCAACATATATAAATATGCATGTTATGTATGTACATATGTATGTACATATATAACTCTAAAAAATATTTAATTCCATAATATATGCTTATGAATGTAATAAATTTTATTTGTTGTTTAAAATGCTGCTCTAATATAATATTTGTGCAACATTGTCAGTACACAAGAGATAGAATAAGCGCAAAACTAGGCATTGTTAAATACCTTTCGGCTAAACGCTCATTTATCGGTTCGGCATTGCTGGTCAACATAACCAAGGCTCTTATTTTATCCACAATACGGTACGGGCTGGAAATCTATGGACATCACGCTAAGAGTAAACTCAAATTTCTGGCATCCCCTTATCATACGGCAATACGTAGGTCACTACGCGCGTTTCCAACAACCCCACTGAAAAATTTGTATGCAAAATCTGGCCTAACATCCATAATTGATGAAGCTGAAGATGGAGTCCATAAAACCTACGCCAAAGTTTTACTATCTTCGAATGCTATTCTCTATAAGGACGTGCAGCTGGTTCTTTCGCGTAAACGTCAACCTAAGGTGCCATCAACCATTCATCTATGCGTTAAGTTTGCTAAGGATAATGACCTGCCACTGTTAAAATACCATAGACGTAAAATATTACACCCGCCGTGGTTACTTAAGGAGACATCTTTCATAAATGAACTAGTTCCTCTTCGGAAAGCGAATACATCTAGTGACGCTTACTTATCTAACTTCTTAGAAGTGTCAGAAAGGTACAAGTCCAATGGTTGGCAACTGATCTTTACCGATGGTTTGAAAACATCTCAGACCTCTTATGCAGTTGTAACAGAGCAAGGGGGCGTACTCTCCCAAGAACTTCTATTTTCGGTCTGCTCAATTTTCACTGCAGAAGCAACAGCAATATTTAACGCTATTCTTTATACTATGAAAACGAGAGGAAAGTTCGTAATCTGCTCTGATAGTATGTCATGCATTGCCCATTAACAGAAAGTAGAAAAACAAATTATATTATCGACAGCATCCGTGACATACTCATTGCTCATCCCCAAAAAATTAAAATAATGTGGACGCCTGGCACTCAAAAATACAGGGTAATATGCATGCTGACAAAATTGCAAAAGATATGGCCGCTACACCTACTATGACTTCAGGTATCATATTTAAAAACGACATTTATCGGCTAATAAAATATAAAAGGCAAAGCAAATTATTAGCAGACTGGAGACGATATAGCCATCATTACTTCGAAATAAATCATAGTCGCTCTAAGCCAAAATTTACTACCTCTATACCGACAAACTATACCACGCCATACACTCGACTTCGTCTTGGTCATACAATTATCACCCATACCCATCTACTTCAAGGGGCTGAAGCCAGGGGATGCCCATTTTGTAACCTTCCACTCAGCGTGAACCATCTTTTGTCATCCTGCTCCGCACTCCAATCCCAGAGACATCATTACTTTAAAAATGCGGATCCTATTCAGTTGTTAAAAGATCCCACAGATGATAACTTAACAAAGATATACAAATACCTAAAAGATTCCGACCTGCTTCGACGTATCTAATATTTTATGCCACATGCCAGCCGAAAGCCACCGATGCTAGTGCTGCGTTAGTTTGTAAGTTTATATGATAATTGAATTGTTATGTAAACTTTTATAAAAATAAAAATAAAATAAAAATAAAATATTCACATATTTATATGCATATATACGTATGTACATACAATTATTAACATACTTTCGTACATATTCTATTTCCATTCCCATACATTCCCACATTTTTATGCACAAAAATCAAGAATGATAGAATACAAGATTGCGCCGATCAGAGAGGATTTTTGAGAATAACTTTTGTGTGACGTCACACTGGTGCAATTGCGAGAGAGAAATGCCAGAATGTGAGCAAGAATGGAAGAAGAAGAAAAATGTTTGCAAGGAAAACGTAAACAAGTTGCACAAGTGTGACGTCATGCAAACAACGATTCTGTCAAATTCGTTAAGAGAGGAATAGCGGTCCGAGATCGGCGCAACCTTTGTATTCTCTCAATCGTGCACAAAAATGCATGTGTTGTATAGTACACTCGAGCGCTCGCTCGTCGCTCACTCGTCTTACCTAGCAGAGCGAGTATGCAGAAAACTACTCGCCTCGCACTGCGAGCGAGGCAACACACAACAGCCTCGCTCGTTTAATAGGAGCGCGAGCAAACAAGCCGCTCGCTCGTTTGCCGAGCAAGCCAAACTTCTCGTGCCTCGCCTCATTGCTGCTACGAGCAGTGTTGCCAGAACTTTTTGGACGAACTGGCTAAATTGGCAAATAAATCCGGCTAAAAACGGCTAAAATGTTTCAACTAAATTTCACATGTTTTATTTAAATATATCACAAGTAAAAATACTATTTCTTGGAGAGAAGTTACAAATCCGAGCCCGAAAAAATTTTGCCAGCAAGAATTCGCAATTGGAAAAACATATGATTGTGGCACATGGTTGGATTTTTTGTCGACGATAATTTGATTAACTAGTTCGTTAAATTTAAACATTTACAAACTGGAGCGATTTTAAAATGAAAACTGTACGTTAATACTTGTTTACTTAATTAATTTAGTTAATTCCAATGATTTGAAAGGTACTCGGCAAAAAAAAAAATGTATTCTTAATCGGAATGCAATCTCAACCAGAGTCGATGTAGTAAACCCGACAAAGAAATTGAAACGTATGTTGAAGAAAGTCGGACTGACAAGATATATGCACGTAGATTCTGTTTCTTGCCCCTCTGAAAGAATTTTAAAAATTCTATACAAATTTCTTTTGTTTGAAATGCAACCGTGGACACTAGCTGGCAGCTAAACTTGCAAATTTGCGTTCGTACAGAAAATTGCAAGTTTTTCTACATGAGAAGAATTTGGGAGCATTTTTTCTTACTATCTGATATTTTAAATGATAATTCTCGCTGGATTTTCGACGAACAAACCTATTGTCTTCCCTACAAGGCCTTTTCAGACTGACCGATTATCAATACACTCAAATAGAAACCAATACACATAAAAATCGCTGTAAAAATTTCGCTTCAATTTTAAGGCAGTCAATTCTGATGTAAAATATGATGCCAACAGACTGCAGATCTTCCATTTAGATGACCGGTCATATGACCGGCAGATGCCTCGTAGGATTCCCAGAGAGTTTTGCTTTACATAGAAATTTGTGCTCTTTTATTTTCATTTTGACTCACTTCAGTGTTGGTTCCTTTAATTCAAGTTGGCATTCGGTTTTTGGAATTTAAATAGGTTCTCAGCAAAAAGGTTTGTTTAAAAAAATACCTATGTGTACATAGTGCTTGAAAATATCATTTTTTCCCTTAACTTAAACCTTTGGAAGTGGGCAAAAATGATTTTTTGTAATTTAGGCAGTATCGAATATGCGCTATCTGGGAAGACAATACCTACATGTAATGTTTGTTATGTTTGTTGGCACTATATCCAAACACAAACGCATCTTAATTGTCTTAACTGTGAAACAATTTCTTATTTTCTAAGTTTGCGAATGAAACTTCACACTTAAAATTAAAACATTTATAACAAACATTTTATGAAGAAAATCCCTTCTTCGTTTAAAATAAAAATAAGCGAAATCGGCCCAATTTCATACAACCCTGCCTGACATGAAAATTTTCTCCACGATAAGGCTAGTAGCCATTTCTAATAGATTGTGGGTCGCATAGTCAAAAATGGAAACATATACACATATTTGAAATTTAAGAAAACAAGGCAAATAGCAAAATCGGCTAAAAACGGCTAATTTTTTTCTGCAAAACGGCTAACAAATCGGCTGCCGGCTAAATCGAAATTTCTCCGGCTGTTTGCTATCGCAACCGGCTAAATTTAGCCGGAAAACGGCTAAAATGGCAAAACTGACTACGAGTACGAGCTGCGAGCGCCTCATTGCCTGCGAGGCATTGAGTAGGAGTTTGCTCGCTCGCTCGCTCGAACTCCGAGTTTTTGCCCACCCTGTTTGTGAGTGATCGCGAATGGAGCACCCTCATTGTTTATCTCATTTATGTAGGTGCACACCCAAAACTCTTACAAAATAAAATTTTATGAAAAACGTACGTATTTACGAAATATCTGGTATTCAGGGAAATCCCAACTAAACCACACAATTCCGCACTTAGCGAAATGCAGTTTGAAGAACAATTCACTACCCGCTACAACTCTAAAATGAACGAAATCATGTGCTCTATTTCCGAAAATATTTCTAAAGCATACTTATTATTAGTGGAAAATAAACAAAAGGTATGTAGAAAGCTGCTGCAATATTGTATCTACATACATGCATACATCAGGCTAAAAGGCTCACAAGTAAATTTTTTCGTCTTTCCAAGGCCGTAGTACAACCAACGCTTTTCTATTACACTGTGGAACAAATTCAGGTTAGCAAAAGTTAGGTCGATTCGGAGAGTGAGGGGTGAAAACAGAGGCTAAATTAGAAGACCCGTATCGCGGCGTTTGTTTATGTTAGTTCGAATTTTTTTTTAATCGACCTTTGAACTTTGCAGTTAAATGCAATAAATTTCTTCCCCTTCTTCCTCTTTTTCCTCGTCTTCCTCTTATTTGTTTTCAACCACCGCACAGGTAGCGATTTTTATTTATTTCGTACAAGCGAAATAATATTGTTTAGGCCATCAGCCTAAATAGTTTTTCTTACTTTTGGTGAACCGCCCAAATGCTGGCATATGTACATACATGTATATACACTCATACATGCTCGTATATATTAACAACAGCTAAGCCGTTAACTAATGTATCCCGCCGGACAATGAACCTTCGTTAAGTTTTCTCTTAACGTCAGTTATTGTCCGGCGGTCCAAACTTAGAAACCGCAAATTATATTTTTCACTTCTGTTTGGAGATCGACGAAGACACAACGCAGCTACTAGGCCACTTCGTAAAGGTAATCAAAAACGCATTCGTATATGCACACATAGATATATATATATATGTCGAAAATAGTTGATTAAAATAAACGTTGCAAAATACTAAATTAATTCTTTAACTTTTTTCCATTTTTCTCTATATCATAAAACACTGGTGCGTCCATTCGCGAGCCTTACGACGCCCGGGGTTTTACAAATATCAAAAATAAAGATTCAGTCAAGGCTTGAAACTCAGCCGAAGCTGATGTCTTTTAACTTTCGCTCGGTCGTGATAAAATTCGCTATTAATTTTTTTTGAACTTATTTCATTTTGTGAGTGATTTAAGTTAAGTACATCGGTTTCATAAAAATAACAAAAACAACATTGTATAAGATATATTGTATTAAAAATGTCGGAACCAAAATGTAAAATGGACCATTTTTGTAATGTTTGTGGACGTTTCATAGCAAGCGATGAAAAATGTGGCAATGCGAGTGATTGTTTTTTGGAAGCCTATAAACCAAGGTGTTGTCAGTAACTTAACCTCTCTTTTTCGGCAGGTCTATTCCGGACACGCATTTTAAAGTACTAGAAAAGGTACTAATTATTTACTACTTTTAATCCGATGGTGCATACTACTTTAAATTAAATGTAGAAAAATGTATAATTACAGGCTTATAAGCCTGAATATATGTTTGTATCGGCAGCTCCACACAGTTTGGACATATATTGTAACTTTAAAAAAGTAAAAGCCGTAAAATAAGGCAATTTCCTATTAGACTGTAAATGATATTATAAATAGATTAAAACACATAAATATAGATAATATAGCGAATTCCTAATTTAACCATGCCACCACTCTATTCTAGTGTATCAGTAGTTCATTTGGCTCAATATTATGACAATGTAGCAAAAGTTATTTAATATAAAAAATCGCCTTTCCATACTATTTTTGTGAAAGTTTTTCTCCATTGATAACCACGATATCTTTTATTTTTCTACTTTTTGAGTACAAAAATTATACAAATCCAGCAATTTTAAATATTAATATTGTTCTGAAAACACCAAGTTCTTTAAAAATTGCGATAAAACGAATTACTAAAATGGAGTATTTTAGATACTATTTCCCAACGAATAGTAGTATAAAAATTAAGATCGGCAGCACTGAAAATAAGCATGCCGATCTTGTCAAAATCACAACAAACACATCGCTACTGACAACACTTTGTTATTATTCCACCATGCCTATAAACAATATTTCTCGCAAGAGTTTATCACTGACGTAAACTATGCCCCTAAAAAAGTTTGCTTTAATTGCTATTCAAGTGTTATGCAATGGAAAAGTGAAAAGAAGAAGGCTATGCCTTTTGGTATACCAATGATGTGGTTAGACAACAGCCCGCATCAACAAGAAAATTGCTATGGATGTATCAACTACCATAAAACTTTGAATAGAAGGAAAGCAAGGAATAAAACTTATGTAGCAGTGCCAAGTGTCCAATTACCATTACCGCACTCAGAATTCGTTCCAGTACCAACATACCGAAGTATTGATCTTCAAACAGATATCAGTACTACAACCGCCGCTGCTATATCCATGCATTTCTTCTCAGAATACGACCCTGGTGAAGGTACATCCTATGAAACATCAAAGGACCCAATCCTAGTCACACAAAAGCAATTGGATGCAATTGTTGCAATTTTGTGTTTGACTCAGAAAAAATCAGAACAACTGGCTTCATTTTTGAAAGGAAATAATTTGCTGGCGAAAGGTACCAAAGTAACAGCATATCGAAAACGCCAAAAAGAGTTAGAAAAGTTCTTCAATGTGAATGATGTAAAAAATTTCGCTTATTGCAACGATATCGAAAAGTTAATGGAGACGATAGGGTTAACCTATAAAAAAGATGATTGGCGTTTATTCATCGATAGTTCACTAATCAGCTTAAAAGTTGTGCTTTTGCACAAGACGAATAGAATGCCTTCTGTTCCAATTGCGTATAGCACTGACACTAGTGAAAATTTCGATAATTTGAAACACATTCTGGAAGTAGTCAAATATAACGAACACCAGTGGCGCATTTGCTGCGACCTCAAAATAGTTTCATTGATTACAGGCTTAACAGCATCTGGCCGTCCAAAATATCCGTGTTTTTTGTGCGATTGGGATTCATGATACGGAGAAGGTATTAAAGGAAGAAACCAGTACAAACAGCACAACTGGAATAGTCGCATTGGATGGAAATGGCCTAAGGACAATAGGCTACACGAAAGTCTTGTTCCTGAAATGAAAATTTTGTTGCCGTCGCTCCACATTAAACTTGGCATTGCTAAACATTTTTTGAAATGTATCGCAAATCACCAGCAGTATTCAACCGCATAAAAGACATTTTCCCAAGACTAAGTAACGCCAAAATTCAGGAAGGGGTTGTTAATGGTCCCGACATACGGAAACTAATGAATCGTCAAGATTTTGACTAAGTTCTGACAGACAGAGAATTAAATGCATGGCTCGCATTGAAAGCAGTCATTAAAGGACTTTTGGGTAAAGAACGCAAAGACAACTACAGGCAATCTGTTGCAAACATGTTGGCAGCTTTCGATGAAATTGGGGTTAATATGTCGTACAAAATTCTTCTCTTGCATCAGCATCTTGATCAATTCGCTCAACAGTTACCAACTGAATCTGATGAGCAAGGCGAACGTTATCACCAAACTGCGCTTCCATTTGAAATAAGGTAAGTATAGAGTGTGCATATTTTGAATTCCTAGATTTTTCTAATATCTTTGTCAGAGTGCACAATTTAAACAAGTTAACGATTGAAAACCAATTTCGTTTCAGGTACAGAGGAAAGAAACCTCGAGATGCAATACTTGCTGAAATTTGTTGGTGGTATAAAAAC